TTAAAGGGATTTAAACAAAAAAAAATCTTTCATCTTTAACACTAGACCTTAACCCATAAAGAAGAGGCTATAAGCTGCAGTTTATCAATCAAATAGTTGACCATCACAAAATCCCTCTCCTGAAGTTAATGGGGTGCTTTAAGCCTTGCGTCTGTATAGCTGTGTTTTGGGATCTCATAGCAAAGCTGCATAATCAAATGCATTGCCATCATTGGGCCACAATTTCAAAACATTTCAAACTGTTTTCTAAACCCTATACAGTTCTGAATTTCTCATGGGTATGCAGATTTTCATATGCAAGTGTTTTTATGGAAGCTGATACAGATTTATTTATGCAACTCCACTTGTACATGCAAATCAGCTGGTCTGCTCCAGCACTGCATCATTCCCGGGTTTCGCAATGGAGAAGTGATGGGACAAGCTGCTCTCCCAGAAGTAATCCCCTTCCGCTGCTGTAGGTGTGCTCATTGAGACAGAACTATAAAGTCCTTTTGGACTATCAGCAGGCTATTTCTTGTGAGTAAAGCCCCTCTTTGTGATAAGAGAGAGGAAGCGCTTCACACAGGGGCAGCAGCCTGGGGCTCCTGCTGCGGATCTGCAGCCGCTGTCCCCTCCTTCCCCTGTTGCCGGTGCCGTCTGCCTCCCCGCGCTCACTTGTCAGCTTTCCTGCTCGCTTTCCCCAAACTGCTCCGCACCTTGTCTTCCCGTGAGCGTATCGACAGCAAGAGCTGGGTTTGTAAGCAGGGACTAAGGGGAGGAGACACGGGAGAGAGGAGAGTCAGCAGGCTTCCGCAAAGTAAAGCGGAAAGGAGAATCTGCTGTGACAAAAGCCTTAGGAAGAGGAAAAGGTGGGCTTGACCGCAGCTTGGGAGGGGAGGCAGATGTAAGCCGCCCCATGGGATGGCAGCGCAGCGGGCTGAAAGGGGCTGCTGGAGGCCTCGCGTCCCCCTGCCGCTCAGGCAGGGCCACGTTCGAAGACGGAGCAGGTGGCTCGGGCGAGTTTTAGGTATTTCCAAGGGTATTCAGGTGGGGATTTCACATCCCCGCTGCGGCAGTAGGGCCCGCTGCTCAACCACCCTCACTGCAAAGAGGTGCGTTTTTCTCCTTTTTTCTTTTTTTTCCCCCCCTTCTGTCCAATGAGAATTTCCCTTCTCGCCACCTGCCCTTTTGCTGTGCCTCCCGGGGAAGAGCCTTCCTCGCCCCGGCAAGCAGCCAAGGGGACCGACTCGGCCCCCCTCGGCCTTCCCGCTCCAGGGGAAAGAAACCGGTCCCCCTCGAAAGCAGGGGCCGCCGTCCCTCCCCACGGCGTCGGCGCCGCCTCCTCCGCATGGCGGATGAAGGCACGAGGTGATATTAGCCTGCTGGGGGCCCCTGAGGCCCAGCACCCCACACCGAGCCTGAGGGGCTGGCTTTTTCGCTCACCCGGTCCTCAATCCTGATTTAGTCGCGTGGGCGCGCGGGGCAGCCAGGTGGGAGCCTCATTAAGTCGAGGCAGCTGACGAGAGGATCCGAAGGTGCTTTCCCCTGGCTGCCGGGAACCGCGGCCTCCCTGGGGCGAGCAAGCGCCTCCCTCTGTGTGTGTGTGTGTGTGTGTGTGAGGGGGGTGTGTGTGTTTTTTGGGTTTCTTTCCCCCTATTTGTTTGCGTTATCAAGTTGTAAACTTTAGTGAGAGATAACCCACGGCTGTGAGTCACATCAGGACTTACCAGGCAACTTGCTTTAGCCATTTGTGTTAAATCTTGTGTTGATTTTTACCTACTTTGCGCGAATAAACGGAGGGCGCTTCGTACGTGCCAAGTACAAACACAGGGGCGTCCCTCCTGGAGGGGAGGCCTTCCTCATGGGTTTTGCTCTAATTTTAAGCCTTAAGCAATCAAAATTGCTAACTCAAACACCCCGCAAAGCAAACAGCGCCCCACGAGCTCGCGGCCCCGCTGGTGCTCCAGCTCTGAAACCCGCCAGGGCCCTGCCGACCCCTGGGTAGGGGCACGTAGTGGTCTCCATGCTAAAGGAGGATGATTCTGTCTTCAAAAACAAACAAACAAGCACCTACACATAATGGAAAAGGAACATAACGACTGCAGATGGTAGACTTGGAAGGGAGTCTCAGGAGGCGAGGCCACCTCCATCTACATAACTGCCTCAGTAATAACACACAAAGCCAAAATTGCCCAGGTAATGGTGTTGGAAACGCTGCATTTGGGTAGGGATTTAATAAATTGGGCCTGATGAGGAAAAAGTAATTGGGGGGGGGTGGTTGTTGGCTTGGGAGCAGTCTGGGCAGAGGAAAAGAGGTGCCTGCACCTCCGGCGAAAGGGGGGGGCTCAAGGACAGAAAAAAAATGCAGAAGAGGTATAAAATCAGGTGGAGAGCAAAGACTAGGGTGATCCTATGGCGCAGGACCGCCTGCGGCCGAGCTGCAGGCCCCCAGGGTGCTGGAGGGACCCCTTGGGCAAAGGGTTGAATTTGTAAGGAGGGACAGACATGTACCTTAGTACTAAGTGGAAGAGGAAAGGTGACAGAATTTGAATTTAATAGCACTTATATGGGTGACTTAAGTTTTCTTGATAGTAATATAACCAACTTAGTAATGTAACCAGTGTATCAACATTAATAACAAGCAATAGAATTGCAACTCAATATTACTTGCAATGAAATGTGAAATGACTGTGTAGTGATATTACTATAACAGAGATGTGTTTATCAGCAAGTTAAGGTGTTATTAGTTTTTTAAAGATGGTTTTAATGTAAACATTATTGCTTCGGCAATACATCTCCATCAGTTACCTCTCAAGCCTCCAGTCTGAAGGGGGAGAGAAGGCCTTAGGGAGCAACAAGTACATTGTCAATACAGGAGACAAACTGATCCCTGTCTTAGAGCTCTGTCTCTGTCAGCAGTTCTTTAAATTGGTGTTTGCATAATGCTTTTGATGCTCATGAAACAAATCCATGGGTAAGAAGACATGGCCACTATCGGGATGTTCTTAGTAAATCCCAAAGTGGCTGAAGACTTTCCTAGTATTCATACTAGAGAGAAATGGGAGGGTGGAAGGGGAGGAATGAGGGATGGTAAGCTAATGCCTAATTTTCACATTGCCTTAAAGGCAGTTTCTTGGTAGAGACGGAATGCAGCGAATTCTTAAAAACAAACCAACCAACCAAAAACCTCAAAGACTATTACTGGATAATCTGGGAGAATTTCCGAATCCTGTGTAGCTTCCATGTTATTTAAAAAGGGGGGAGGGAGGGTTAAGAGAGAGAGAGGTTGGTTTATTGCCTGTACCTGGCTGCTGCTTAGTACCTCCCAATCCAGAAATGCTTTTAAGTGGTTCATATTTAACCAGTCCTATCTGTCTGAAAAGGAAAAGGCTGCCAAGCTAGATTGGATCATTTTGGATGCTGTCATTCTAGCTAGCTATTTCGTAGCATTGACGAGTGCTGACTTAAAACAGTTCAGACACGGCTGCATCCTGAGACATGCGGTGGCACTGTGCTTTTTAGCCTTGTCTCTTTTTATGGCATGCTATTACACGCTACAAAGCAGTAATAAAAAGCAGTGTACGTCAGGGTGTGGGACCTTGCCTCTTCCTCTTTTCCTTGGCCAGAGCCAGTGGCTCTGAGCAGAAGCCTCTCTAACATACATGAAGTTAGGCATGCTCAAGGCGGCTTTTACGCACCCCAGCCATATAAGCTTGCCTCATTCTGGCTACTATATAGAGAAATTGATTTCCTTGAATAATGAGCTGTTTTAGAAAGACTTTGATTTCTTACATTTCTAGGAAGAAATAACAGGATGGTATCCTTTGTGAGAGGCATAGGACTGACAGTTTCTGAAGAAGACAGCTGTGAGCATCCATGAACAGACTGTGACTCCGTGCACTGCTCATGTCCTTGAGCTTAACTGAGAGAAACTACCTTTAAGCTTGGGTTACTCTATAACCCCCTGGAGCTGGTGGCAGCTCTCATGTGGCCACCAGCTCGCCAGGACATGACCTGCAGCCATCCCATTCACTTCGCATAGGTCACTAAACGGCATTGGAAAGTAACAACCTTCACCAGCAGCTCAAACAGAGTGTACTTGCAGTGATGACGCAGACTCTCCGCGTGGTTTTTTTCTGAGCTGTGCTAGGTAGTTTTAAGATTGTGTCCATTTTAGTTGGATGTTCAAGAGTTGCAATACTTGGCAGGGCAAGGCAGTTAAACACAGCTGCTATTTATGAAAAAACTTGGATGCATTCTGTACAGATTCAATAGATAACCTACCTCCTGTTCCAAGCTGCTTTCAAACTAACTTGGTTTCAGGTGTAATAGCTCAGATGTGTAATGACCAGGCAGAAAGTGATGGCAGTAAGTATACGATAAAAAAAACTCTAAACAAACCCATTTCTATGAATACTGAATGTGGTCTACATGCACTCACTAATACTACAGCCTAGAACTAAGAGAGCTCAGAAAGCAGTAATTTGGGAAGTCTGATGCTACTGCGTTGGCTCACCAGCAAACATGAATGCAGTCCTTTCCTATCGCGGGAGACAGAGCTTCCCAGCTTCTGTGAGGATGCTAGGCTGACATGATTGTCTGGATTAGGCCCACCAACTTGGGTTTACTAAACTAGAGCAAAGCAAATACGCAGTTTTTGCAGGTAACATTCAGATTTCAACTTTTCTGATTTCACAACCCACACTCCTGCCCCTAAAAATACACATATGCTTCACCCACAGAACCATTACCTCACAGACTTTTATTTCCTTTTCTTTTTGGCTGAATTTTTTTTTTCTAACCTACTTTAAAAAAAAAAAAATCCCCATTGTGCTGCTATCTCTGTTTATAGCACCAGGAAGGTGTGCTCGGGCCGTATCGGGCACAATGGAATTTGCTGTGGGGAAACCCGGTGAGGAGAGTGGAACCCGCCCGCGCGTGAATTCCCGCGGCTCCTGCTGCTGCTTTATAAGGAGGCATCGGAGCGGCAGGGCTGGCAGCTGTGCCAGAGCGCCCGGGAGCACAGTCGCTGCACGCAGTGAGAATGGCTGCCTTCAACTGCAGGAGCTTGGTGTTGGCCTCTCTGTTAGCGCTTCTGGTGCTGTTGCTGTTTGGTGCCTCCCAAGGTGAGCGAGCTCGGGTTGTTCGGCCCTGGAAAGCGGTGCATGGCGCTGCTCCGCTGCATGCCAACCCCACTGGGGGGATGTGTGTGTTTTGTGTGTGTGTGTGTATATGTGCACGTGTGGTCTCTCTCATCGTGCTGCCAGATATGAGGTGGAAGGACATTAAAAGCATGCTGCTTAATCCTTGCAGTCCTACCCCTTCTCTTCTGCCAACAGGGAGTTGGGTAGTCAAGTCCTAGGCAGCCTGGTCCGAAGGGCTTTTATTTACCTCACTGTTTTCCTTCATTCCAGCACAAAGCAACCAAGACTGCTGCCTCTCTTACAGCAAAGGGCGCCTGCCTCGGTGGGCCATAAAGGGCTATACTGAACAGCTCTCCAGTGAAGTCTGCGATATCAGTGCAATCATGTAAGTTACTTTTCGGGAGATCCTGTATTTCTTCTGGCAGTTATGTATTAGCCTTAGGATGTCTGTTTGGGAGAAAAAAAAAAAAAGATTTGAATGTTATAAGGTTGATTTTCTTTATCTTTTTCAAAAGTTTGAGTAGATCTTATATAATACTTGCATACAAAACATTGCAAGACCTGTAGTTGGTAGGGACTACTAAATCACAGGACAGCTGCGCAATGTAAATACTAAAGCTGGTAGTTTAGGAATCAGCTGTGTAAACAAGGATGTGCTTAGTCTTCAGCTTAGCCTAACTCTGGCCTACACCGGATGTTCCCTTGCCACAACCTGTTAACAGACACAAGTCACGAGCCCTGTCTTAATTCACAGAGATCAGAAATTGTCTCACAAGGATTTAGCCCTCCTAAATGCTGATCTGTTACCTTAGCTTGACAGAAGCTGTTCTCCTTAGTCTCAAAATTATTTCTTGCATCCCGCAAGGTTCTTTGTCTCAATGTCTCCAACAAATTGAACACAGTTGTACAGTGCAAAAAATGATCCCCAGGACTAAAGAAGCTATTATGTTTAAAATTCATTAGGTTTTTCTTCTTGTTCATGCAGTATTGGGGAGGGGGTGTGTAGCATCCCTTATCTAACTGGGGTTTAGAAAAGCAGTTGCTATTCTTTATATGGAGTAACACGACGAATTGTTTTTGTTTCACTAAATACAGCTTCATAGTATTTTCTAGCAGAGTTTTTACAATTATTCACTAATATTTTTACCATTACTTCTTTTCCAGTTTCCACACCCACAGTGGACTGAACGCCTGTGTAAATCCTAAGGAAGGCTGGGTGAAGAAGCATCTTCTTTGGTTGAGGTAGGAACCTAGAAATCTAAAATCTGTTAGGCTGATGAAAACAGAGCATATATGAAAGGTCTTTTCTTACATCTCCTGGAAGCCACTTTGATGGCAATTCTGAACGTGTTTGTTCTTCTGTCTCCTATCAGACATGGTTACTTTTTAAGAGCCCTCTCTGGGACAGTCATGTCATAGGTCCTTCTCCTACCTGAGCTATTCTTCCTATATTCGCTATTATCTCGGAGAGAGAAATCTACAACTGATCTGTGGCTGAAGTGATTATTTATGTGCTTTCTCTCATTCCTTTTAACAGCCATAAGCTCAAGAGGATGTCGATGTGATGTGGTTTCCAGCAGGGAACTAAACACAGACGTGGCTGAAGAACCACTAGGTTCAACCTCTCGGTTGAGATCATTGTCTTGTACACCGTTGTGTGCTTACTCACCGCTATCTCTGGCTTCTTTGGAACCGTTGAACTTCTGAAGTTGATTCATATTGCATCACTGTTTTGCTTGAATTAAGCATTTTGTTAAAGTTTCTATTTTACTTACTAATATATGACAGTAGATTTATATTCAGTAAAGACTACCTTAAGCTATTGTACAGAGTATGTATTCTATTAGGTTTTTTGCATAGTTGTTTTGTATGTGTGCTGTGTGCTATTCAGCATATGTAAAGCAGGTTATTTATTCTGTTAATTTTGTTACTTCTTTGGCACTTTCTTGTGCCAAAATGTTTCCTTTTAATTCTAGTTAGCATGATAATACATTTTGAACTGTTGATAAACAAATTCTGTTTGTAAGAAAAATGGAAATTGGAGACTTGAAAAATAAATGAATCTGTCTACATGCGAGATATATATATATATATATTTTTTTTTTTTAAATCACAGAAGGTAACTTCTCCCTTGAAATAAATTCCTTTGCTTGTGAGCCTCCAGCTGAAACAATTAGGCAAGCATATTCATATTTGTTAAAGCCACTGCCCAGCTTGTTAACTCTGTTTGCCCTATGGGTACCTACAATCTCCTTAGGATATATCCCTTTTCCTCTCACAGACAGCAGCTACATATGAAGCTTTTTTGATGAACATGAAGACCTATTCTTGGCTCAATCTCATCTTAACTAAACTTGAGGGAATTTCTCTTATAAGTTCCTGTGTCTATTCAGGAGAGACCTTACCTGTTACAGGGCAAGCTTCTAGTTCATTCCAACTGAGAAGGATTATGATTGTGCTAATGCTGTCTGCTGTCTCTGCTAAAGGTCATCTCTGGAGGAGAAATTTTCAGAGGGGCATTACAAATGATGCCTGATAAAAGCAATGGATCTTTATGGCATACGGTGTGGGCGCAGGATGAAGCGGGGAGGCTGCTCTGCTCTTTAGCTACATGGCCCATGTGGACTTCAGGGGTGCAACCAAGCAGGCCACGTAGGTGTCATCTTCTCACTGTCAGCACTGGAGTCTTTCACATAGATCTGTGCTCTGATTCTTGGTACCTTTTACTCACAGAGGTAGAAGCATCAAACATTTGGTAGACACTCAGCTGCAGCTACGTGTTTCTTGATGTCCTTGAGATAGGAGCTGATAGGTTCTTTTTATGGTGGTTGTGAATCTAAGGCTGTTGATTCTAGTTTCAACACCTGCCAGAACTTGCGCAACCTGCTTGTGGCCCTGGAAACCTGGGAGCTTGCAGTTTGCTGGGGGTGAAGCGCTGAAGGAGCAAGATTAATTGGTTTCAGAGTTTCTAATAGGTGGATTCCATGTCCCTCACAAAGGATATAATGTAAGTAGCTATAGCCATCCCAGAGAGGAGTCATTACCTAGCGCATTCCTTGGGAATTTTGGGAATTCCCAGAATTTCTTAAGAGGACTAGAGCAAACTGCAGAACTCCTTCGACCTTTTCTGCCAGCATTGGTGCGTGTTCCCATATGGGATGACCTAAGAGTTCAGGGGCTATCAGGCACCAATAAAATGGAACAGACACAGTTAATGGACGCATATGAAAGTGTCAGAAGTTGAGGTTCCCCAAGCCTACCTTGAAAATAGATAGGGTGTTTGAGGGAATATTGGGATAAAAACGAAGGAGAATACTTGGTTAGCTGCTGGCAGAATCCTAAAGGTGGTGCCCGGCACTGACACAGGTGCTGAGGTTGGATGGGCAAAGGTGCGGGGCAGTGAGGTGGGGAAATGAAAAGAAGGCCAGGGAGGAGAGAGGGGTGGCAAAACAGTGGGCGAGTTGCTGCAGAGGGTGGTAGAGATTTTAGGCACCAGAGCTATGTATGAACTTTGTGCAGAAAAGCCAGGAGCCAAAGGTAAGGAATTCAAAGCTGAGGAGCAGAACAGGAAAGTGAAGACTGTCTGAAGTTGAGTGGGTGGCTCTCTTTTCACAAGCCCAACCTGTAAGTAATGTTCTGTATCACTTCTGCAACTCCTTCTTCCTCTTGTCAGCCACAGTTCTATCTCCACAAAAGCCCAGGTGCTCTATCCACCGAGCTATGACTTGTGGGATTTTTTTTTTTTTAAGTTCCTCCTCTTGTAGTTGAATGTTTTTTTATAATCGGCCTCATTGGAGGAAACAAAATCACCTGAAAATTGGTTCCTATGCTCAAAAACGTAGGTTGATAAGGTTGACAGGCTGGGAAATTCCCTGTAAAAATAACATGTCCTTTCATGAATTCCTCAAGTTGCAAGCAGGCATTGTGAGTGAGTGCTGTACCTCCACAATCATCAGATCACAGGAGTTGCATTTTTCTGAGCAAGTAACCATAAGTGGCAGTAAAAGTTCTGATAGCTTGGAAAAAGATGACCATTTCTAGGAAAATCTTGACCCTGATTTCTTTGGGGCAGATGCACCTCTTCTGCATTTGTGTAGGTGAGTGTATTTCCTCTATATCTTTGGGGATTTCTTCCTTTTGTTTTTTTTCTTTTAAATATTTTGTAACCAGTTATTTTCTCTTGCAAAATGCTGAAGAGCCTTTTTATTATAGCTTGAGTAAACTCGAGATGGGGGTCTGAGGGCCTTCCCATCAGAGTCTCAGTGCAATTTCATATGTCAGTTCCAAAGTCTTGTGCTCTCACCCTTTTGAGACCAGTTCTCCCCGATTCCTGCATTTGCTGGAACATCAGTATTGACTCCTGTGCACGTCTTTACTTTCTGTTATTTTTTTCTTTTTGCCCTTAAAAAAAAAATCATCCTTTTATTTTCTAAAGCAATCTCACTCCATTCCCACTCAAGACATTATTTTGAGATCTTTGTCAGAAAACTTTCTCTTCATATATGGAATCAAAATTTTGATTTACTCATCTCTTAATATGTTTTTTTCTCCCACTCCAACACAGAGTAACCATGATTGTTGCCGTTCTGGCACACAGAGAAAAGTGCCTCCTAGGGCTGTCATCAATCACATGGAGCAGCTGTCAGCAACTGTGAAATAAACGTTATTGTGCAAGTTGCCAGTTTAAGAAATTCAGCTGTAATATGACTATCCTTGGTTACTACTGTCTGATGCATAAGTAACCTGTGGGCTAGTGGAAAAATGTGTTTAAACGTTATAGTTTCCCTGTTTATATCTGTGGACAGTTCTGCAAAATTATCTTAATGCAAAAAAAGCTATATAGAAAAAGGTATACAATATGCATTTTTATCTGTCCTTGTACACACTCTGTGTTTAAATATTCTGAACGGTACATGTTAATTAAAGGTAGCAAAGATATTGATAAAAATAACTTAGGATTAAATGGACAGTGATTTGCTAAAGAATAGCAACCATTCTGCTGCTTTTTGCTGTTAAAACATAAAACCTGCTGTATCTCATGAGTTACCACCAGTATTAAGTTATTTGTTGAATTATTTGTTCAGTTAATTGTATCTCCTAACCAGCAGTTGAAGACCGTTGTTCCTCATCTCTTTTTTTTCCAGCTTCCACACAAAGAGGGGTCATAAAGCATGTGCGGATCCAAGATAAATGGGTGAAACCTTCTTCTGAGGTTTGAATGCTTTCAAGCTTATTAGCTTACTGAAGACCGAGCATTACTGAGCGCGCTTTGTGACAGCCACACTTTTGAGCCCTTTCATAGTGGTGCCGATAACTGCTCCATTACTTTGAATTACCAGTGCCTAGGAGCCCACATGTAACTGAACTTCACTTTTGATTAACTAGAATAAATAGTTCAACTGTAATTCTGCTTAGCAATAAATAGGGGAACTCCTGAAAGTAGATGGGCTTTGCGCTTACGAAATTGTCACTTGATTTTAATGGCATACACCTAACTTGATAAACATCAAAACAATACAGGCAATCAACTGTAACAAGTCTTCTGTAACTTGATCTCAGTTGTTTTATGCTCTGCCATTCTTATCAAGCAGTAGGCAATATCCCTTGCCAAAATATGAATCATAATAGAGGTTTTTAGTCTGCAGATTTCTTTCTGTATCTTGTACGCATTTCCATCATCATACTTCTATCTTTTTAGTCATATTATGCAGTCTGAATGATAAGTTATAACTGATTGGTTATAGTTGTGTGAATTTACATATATCCAAGCTATGATCTATGTTCCTATGATTTTGTGGTTGTATTATTCTTACACGTGTCAGCTTCTCCTGTCCAGTGTTGCTGTCCTAAGCCAGTTAAAGGTTTTCAAATTGCTGTTTGTTCCTTGTGCATTATCGATTGCAGATGACTTACAGTCAAAGCTCACCAAGAGTTATTGGCATTAGTTAAAATGTTTTGTGATAAACATAAGCAAATCAATACATTACTTGTCATTGATGATAGGTTTGAATAATATGTTAATCTAATACATTACAGCTATACCTCTAGTGGAATGTTGCTTATAAATATGGTAAGTCCTGAATATTTCTCTGGCCCTGCTTGCCTTAACACTACTATTTTTTTTTTTTTTTTAAGGGAACGGGGATTTAGACAGCATGTTTGCTTTTGGACCTAACCTGGTAAGGTTGAGCTAGATTTTTCCATTGCTACTTACCTGCACTACGACAGATATGAATAACTCACGGACTGAAAAATATGACATGAGACAAACACAAATTTCAAGGAACTGATAAAGCATCACTGAATTCCTTGGGCCAGTGAATTTGGCTACTTTAATAAAGCAGTTTTTACAGCTATGTATGCCTTTCTTAATTTTTCAAACCAAAAGACAGAGGAAGATACAAATTCATGAAGTCTTTTGAAATGGACCTAGCCAAAAGACCTAGCTGTACAAATGCTCTCTGGAACTCAGCACAGATCAGAATTGACTCTTCTCGCACTTTTGCATGCTTGCTACTGATTTATTCATGGTTTTTTCCCTGGACCATTGACATTTGAGGTTGATCAGTCATTATTCTTCTTGAAGTAAGAATTATGTAAAAGTTTCTTTTTCATCTCTACCATGCCTATTATATCTTTTGTTCCTGTGAATATTAAAATATGATAGATATGGTACTGTAGCTGCTACAGTGTATTGAGCATAGTGTATTGCTCATATAGTTACCATTAATAAAACCAGGCAGTCTTTTGTCAACAATAGTTTCCTTGAATTTATAGCATCATTCAAAGATTATGCAATTCAAGATGCATGTTTAATGTAAAGATACTAGATGAAATGTAAATACTGTATCTTTAAAAAGTAAATACTTCACAGGAAAAGTAGAGTCTAAAATAGTATTATTAATTGTTATTACTATTTCAACAACAACATTTCCCTAATTTTACTTATATGAATTCCACTTATCCCCAAAATAGAACAATAATTTTGTTCGTAAGCATCTGTACCTCCATTTATGTGTTCTTGGAATTTTGTTA